TCTCTCTCTCTCTCTGTCTCATTGTGTCATGCGGATTACTGTTAATTTATTATGCTGATCTGTTCTGTACGACATCTATTGCACGTCTGTCCGTCCTGGAAGAGGGATCCCTCCTCAGTTGCTCTTCCTGAGGTTTCTACCGTTTTTTTTCCCCGTTAAAGGGGTTTTTTTGGGGAGTTTTTCCTTATCCGCTGCGAGGGTCATAAGGACAGAGGGATGTCGTATGCTGTAAAGCCCTGTGAGGCAAATTGTGATTTGTGATATTGGGCTTTATAAATAAAATTAATTGATTGATTGAAAACATCAAAATTTCCGGCCAAAAAAGAGCTGGATGTTTCAGAATAAAAGCCCCAGCAATTATAACAATACCTTATTTAAATTTATTATAACAGTACTGTATATAAATTTATTATGATAGTGCTTTATTTAACTTCATTTTAACAGTACTTTTTAACTTTATTATAACAGTACTTTATTTAAATTTATTATAATAGTGTAGGGTGACCATATTTTGATTTCCAAAAAAGAGGACACTCGGCCCGGCCACGACATAGCCTACTTAAATAATACTCGCAGTTTACTCAAAGATGCCTTATCATTTTAATATATTTAAAATTTATATGTATGGATAGAAAATTCAGTTATATAACAAAATAATATCTCTCAAAGACAGAAATTCAGATGGGCCCCAATAGGGGACACATACACACACTAGAGTGTGGCGATCCGAGCCCGATGGTACCCGACGGGTCGGCCGGGTTTGGTCAAAAACGTAGCTATAAATTGTATTCGGGCTCGGGTCGGATTCGGTCAGCTTTCAGTGAAAATGTAGTGTAAAAATAAATAAAATAAATAAAATCCTATTGTCTGTCCTGTTTATTGCTTGGGCACTGTTATTTACGTGACAACACCTGAACATAACACACACAGACACACATTGGCTGTTTGTTTCTCCCTCTCCCCTCACTGGAAGCGTCGGACCTCTCGCCTCCCGCTCCCGCCTCCCGCTCCCGTCTCAAAAACGGAGGTCTCCCTCTCAGCGGAGCACCCACGGCTCACGCCCGGCCTGTTAAATAGTCTGTAACCATAACAACTGTGTGACACAAACTCAGTGCTTTAATAATTAAATAATGTCGGGCTCGGTTCAATTTCGGACATAACAAAACAGAATGACTGTCGAGTTTGGACAGAAATATGTGGCCCATGCCGCACTCTACCACACACACACACACACACACACGGAAAACCGCACATTATCATCAGTTTATAAACACCCCCCCGGACGCCCTGGACGGGACATGAAAAGTGGACATGTCCGGGCAAAAGAGGACGTTTGGTCAGCCTATAATAGTGCTTTATTTAACTTTATTATAACAGTACTTTATGTAACTGTAACAGTAGTTTATCTAGCAGTTTAGTATAAGTATTATATATTACATTTTTTTAATAATCTACAGCAGTTTAGAATTTTTAGAATATTTAGATGTATATCATGTATCACAATCTAGCCTAAAAATATTGTGATATGATTATAAGTTCTATCGCCCAGCCCTGATCTTTAGTCATTTCCTCCCCTATTCATACAGTAGTCTGTTTATCTGTGAAAGGGTTGTATGAAGATTAAAATAGATGCTGCTTATTTACACTGATAGTACAGTAAATGTTTGTGTATTAACTGCACTGACTGTAATTTCTAATCTGCACAGGCGTGATCCCTTTTCATGGGTTTTCAATGTATGGTGAGTTTATTTTTACCTTTAAGTTATCACACTAAAGATGGAGGTGGAACACTGCAAGAGGAAGATATAACAGGGTGTGTGTGTGTGTGTGTGTGTGTGTGTGTGTGTGTGTGTGTGTGTGTGTGTCCCACAGTGGCACCTTTGTGTTTCTTATACAACGAGCCATCCAAGCTGTACAGTGTATTCAGGGAAATGTACATCCGCTACTTCTTCAGGTTACACTCCATCTCCTCCTCTCCCTCAGTGAGGAATTTCTTTTATTTAACTACTGCCAAATGTCACTGTTCAAATATTCTTTTTGTGTGTTTACGTCCACCTTCATGCCCATGCTTAACTTGTGCACGTGTGCTCCTGCAGGGTATTGTGTCTTTGTGCCTGCAGTTTGAGCGGCTGCTCCAGACCTACCTGCCTCAGCTCTTCTACCACCTTCGACAGATCGGGGCGCAGCCGTAAGTTGCCCGCACGCTGCCCTATCAGTGGTCAATATTTGACCAGCTTCAAAAACTGTTGTTCCCTTGAGTCATTGAGCCACAAGTACAGGTTGAAAAATACTGAAGTTAGCATTGTAAATACTAATTCATCCACATACATTTTCTACTGATCAACTCAAAACGATGATAAAGTTGAACAAGCAAAAGAAAAACAAATTCCAATTAACAATGGCACAGTATGTGTGTTGCTTTTCTATATTCTTTCATTGTTATTTAAAACATACCTTTTTCAAAGTGGATGTTTTTCATTGCCATTGCCAAGATTTCAAGATAACTTTCATGGAAGTTTGTTCCGTGGTAGCTATCTTGAAAAACTTGTTCTTCCAGCACGAGTGACAGTCCACAGTGATAAACCTTCACCTTCATGAAGAACACTCATTATGCTCGTTGTTGTGGCAGCATGTCTACCCTGACAGGTTCATAGGTAATAAGTGGCCATAAAAGATAAATATTCTTGATCATAATTCTGATACACTGTGTTTTTTTAATCCAGGGTCTTAAAACTAAATAACATTTAAATAACATTACGTTTATTTGGTGCAGGAGTCTCACTCGGCACACATATTTTAATTCTGTAATCAGCTGCTGCCATCTTGTGGTGAATTTTTGGAATCACAGCTTCCTCTTAGAAATAAACCTCTTCATGGAGTCTGAAGATGTGATGGTTCTGTCCTCAGGTTGCGTATCGCCTTTAAGTGGATGGTGCGGGCCTTTTCTGGCTATCTGTCTACTGATCAGTTGCTTCTCCTCTGGGACCGAATCCTGGGATATGATTCACTGGAGATAGTTGCAGGTAAGAGATGTTGCACTCGAACTCTGCAGTAACAGCCTTGATACTCCCACAGACCCTTAAAAAGTCTTAAAAGGTATTGGATTCATCATTTTAAAAAATAAGGACTTTATTTGTACTAGATTGTCTAAAATTGATTTTCAAGGGTCTTTAATTAGTCTTTTAAAGGTCTTGAAAATGCAAGGCAAGGTTCAGTGTATTTTATGCAAAAGGTTTTTCAAACCCTGCACAAAGGGAGTTATGGTACTGGAATCCAGCATGCAGAGTGAGAAACACAAAGTTGCCCAGAAAATGTGCCAACAAACACCAGGTATTTCCAAATTCCATTCTACCCTCATCTCTGCTGTGAGGCAAAAACAAAGGTAAAATTGGGGTTGCCCGTTTATCCGTCCGTCCTTCCTATGCTCATGAATGTGATATCTCCAGAATGACTTTCTTCAAATTAGGCACAAACATCTGCTTGGAATCAACAAGGAGCTGATTAGATTTAAACAGTCAAGGTCACTGTCATCTTGCATCTGTTTCATTCTCATGACCATTTAACTCAAAAATGCCTCGAGGGAATTTCTTCAAATTTGGCAAAAATGTCCAGTTGAATGCTAACGATGAACTGAGTAGATTGTTTTTTGTTAAACGTCAAGATCACTGTGACCTTGCATCTGTCTCATGCTTGTGAGCGCAATATCTCAAGTAGGCCTTGAGGGAAATTCCTTCAATTTGGCGCTAACATCCCCTTGGACTCAAAAATGAACTGGATAGAGTTTTGTGGTTGAAGGTCAAGGTCACTGAGACCTCACAAAACATGTTTGTGCCATAACTCAAGAATATATATGCTGATTATGACATAATTTCACACAAATGTCTGATAGGTTATAATGATAAAGTGATGAAATTATATATCCAAAAGGTCAAAGGTCAACTTCACTATGACATCATAATGTTCTGCAAAAACACTTTCCTGGCCACTCAAGTCATATCTCAAGGACAGAAGTGTAGACATTTGGTCAGATACTGAATTGTTAACACTAGCCTTGGGTGTCCACCTTGAGGCTGTGATGATTGTATTTTTCTTCTGTGCTGTCGGGTGTCAGGCTCTAGGTTTTCTTTCAGTTTGTTAAATGTAAAATTAATGTTGAATTTCATTCTGAATGGCATTACAAAAGTCTTAAATCTAACTCCCCTTAAGCTGTAGGAGTCCTGTATTTGTACAGACACTCTTATAATCCCTTGCATCTCTTACTTCTTTTGTCTTTCTCTGTCTTAATTCCCACATTTTGTTTGTCCCTTGTCTTTTCCCATATGTCATCCTCCACTTCTCCATCCACGTCCCCCTCCACACACACCTCCTCCAGTCCTAGCAGCCGCTGTGTTTGCCTTCCGCGCCGAGAACCTGATGGAAGTGACATCACTGGCCTCCGCCGAGGTATGTCTGTCTCACATTCGACTCGTGTGTGTGTGTGTTTGACACTCCCGTCCTCTGCCTGTCCCCCACATACTCCTGGAAGGCTGGAAATAGCCATTGATGACCAGCCAGTAACAGTAACCCAGTCTCCTGCATGCACATGTCTGAGAAAAATGGCTGGCTGGACACTTAAGAACCCCGTTACCCCTCCCTGTGCACCATCCCACCAACACTCCCCCAAGTCCTGCGCCTCCATATCCCGACACCACTGACAAAGGGAACAAACTGTTGAACATAACGGGCGCCATCTTTCTGCGCATAATCATGCAGATTTGGCGTACACACATCTGATATCTAAACGAGTGCATCTTGTGTCAGCTTCTGCACTGTCACCGCATTATTACAGTAACCAGTCATGTTATTCTTGTGTGTGCCGGCTCTGTATACCGCACCCACTCCCATACTGCGGCCCCACTATCATATGACTGAAACCAAGAGTAAACCATACGATGACTCGCCTCGCCCCATCCTCTGCTTCCCCCGAGGGTGAGGGGGTTAAACTACAATGTGACGCATGGGGCGACAGGCTGATCCGCCGCTCTGAGATGCTGGCCGGCACTATTTGCTTGCTCATTTACCACCTGCCCCAGCAGAGAGGCGATATCATAACATACTGCTCCTTATCTTATATTTAGAACCCCAGGCCCAGCGTTGAAATATTAAACCCTCCCTCTAAACATGATAGGGCCCCTAAATTTAATCTCCCACCCATCCCAAAAGGACAGGGGTGGGGAGCGGTGTACTCTTAAGCAAGGATTGTCGCTTCCCAAGGATCCTGCATCATCATTAAGCGTGTCGCTCTGTGCGCTGCTTTTTTTAAATCCTGAAATATATATCTCTTGAAAAAGGGCGGGGGTTGCTTTATGGCCCTTCTCCTGGGCTTAGTGGGCGAAGGTAAGATTGGAGGGGGGGGTGTGAATTTAAGATGACAAACCTTTACTTGTGTTTTGTTTGACATGCACACTGCAGGCTGTCCTCGCCGACCTTTCAACTCTGAAGGTCATGCCGCTCATCCAGATCTTTCTATTTGCCACCGCCATTTGAGGAGCATGGAACCCCCAAGGATGAGTCGCGGTGCGTACTGTACATACCACTCGGAGCATAAAGAGACACTCCGAAAATGCCACTTTGCAACGCCATAACTGCACTGTTAACCGTCCATCAAGAAACGCCAGGCTGCAGTGTGGGACGTCAAGACAAAAACCTACACATGCATCACACACTTCATCCTGCACTAGCTGAAGCAAAAAGCCAAACCCCTCTTTAGCATGTATGCACCATAAATAGTGAATCCCCGCTATCATGTGATCAGATATTATACAGTATATAAGTATAGCCTACAAACCAGTAAGGTTAAGCTAACCTCACAAAGCCATATGCTCCGCAGGAAAGACGATCCGCGCAGCAGTGCTGGGATCAGCCGAGAGGCTTATTAGGAGACGACTTTCATGGAGCAGTGATTGTGTTGCGGTAGCAGCGTGCAAAAGAGAACAACAGCAACATCTCCGAGCTCGGCTAATGAAGTGTTAATTAGCTTTTGCAATTTGCTGTGTAGCTCCTGCTTGTTGTAACACTGTAAGATAATGCTGTCGCTGACGGATGAGGAGACTGGAAGCATGAGCCAGTGTGTGGAGGGGATCAGACAGAAGACACAAACTGGATTCATATGTCACTTATATGATTAGAAGCTGCTGTGTATGCACATAATGTGTTGTATTTATTAGGACACTGTATATTACTCTGTTAAGGGAGAGCTGGCCACACACACAAAAGTACGTATTGTTCTTCTTACTGTTGTGCTGTTTATCAGTCTAGATCGTTTTGGTGTGAGTTGCCGTAGAGATGTCTGCTTTCTCTCTAATGTAAAGGAAGTCGTTAGCACTCGGTTTGTGGTGATCAGAGCTCCAAAAAAATACATGTGAGAAACTCAACATCAATGTCTCTTTACTGAAATCATGACCCGGTTACTCAAGATAACCTTGTTGTGAGCAGTTTCATGTGGGACAGGGATTCTCAACTTGCTTTGCCCTTTTGCTTTTGCAACATGAGAAGAGACCAGGGGCCAGTTAATCAATAAATATAAATAATAATGGTTAGCACTGCTGCCTCACAGCAAGAGGGTTCCTGGTTCGAACCCAGGGGTGGGGGGCCCTTCCGTATGGAGTCTGCATGTTCTCCCCATGTTAGCCCATGTGGGTTTTCTCTGGGTACTCCAACTTCCTCCCACAGTCCAAAGACATGCAGATTTATTGGTGACTCTAAGCCCCCCTGCAACCCTCAAGAGAATAAGCGGTTACGGAAATGAATGAATGAATTTCTAGTATATTGGCTGTTTTCATCCTTTTGACGTTTGCTGTCCTCACTCATAGTTGCCAAGAGGTAAACACAGTCGAAGCAGCCCTGCTCAGGTCAGGTGTAGCAGGGGTGTCTCTAGGATTTGAGGACGTTAGGGGCCTCTGTTGGGGGGTCTCGGGGATACTCCTCTGGCACATATCTTTTTATAAGCAAGCTCTACTTTGAGGCTTTTTTACGCATTTAAAATGCAAAAGTGTAAATCAATTTATTTTCATTTAGGGCTGCCACTAACGATTATTTTCATTGTCGACTAATCTGTCGATTATTTCTTTGATTAGTCGACTAATCATTTTATCGAAAAATGTGTTAAAATGTTGTTAAATGTCGGTCTGTCTCTCCCAAACCCCAAAATTATGTCATCTAATGTCTTGTTTCATACTCACGCCGAAGGGTTTTAGTTCACCGTCATGGGAGAGTGTGTAAAGCTGCCAATATCTGAACGTAAGAAGCTGCAATAAGAGTACGTTGGGGTACTTTTATAGCACTTTTCTACGAAAAATGACTCAAACCGATTAGTCGACTACTAAAATAGTCACCGATTATTTTAATAGCCGATTAGTCATCGATTAGTCGACTAATCGTTGCAGCCCTATTGTAATTGTGAATTAGAAAAAGGTCAGTGGTCACCCAGCACCATATCACAAGTGGTAAATTGAGTATCACTAATGTAGGATCTATTTTCTCTCTACTGAACTACAACCCCAAACTGTATCACTGCGCAGAAGGAAGCGTGCATCTACTGCTAGCTCACCTAGCACCGCTTAGCTAGCTAACGTTACAGCTCAGCCGAGGAGGATGGCATTAATGTCTTTATCTCATGCTGTCCCGATCATGAGCTTCTCTTCGATGAGTAGATGCACGCTTAAAACTGCTCTCAACAAGAGAAGTTTTCATAGTTCTACGAACCCCGCTTTTGGTTGCTTCCGCACCACAAAAACTACGAACGATTGTAGACCTTAGACTGACGTTTTGATGGACTTTTCAGCCTCTACTTCAGAGTGGGTACTCCCACAGCACGAGAGGAACCATGAGTGACAAAAGTGTATTTGATTGGTAGAACAACCAAAAAAAGGCAAGAGGAAAGAGAAGACCAGGCTTTACTGAGCATGTATGTGACTACTCATCAAGGTGAAAGTGACGTTACTACACCAACTGCCGGCCGACTTAAAATACGTCACTTCAGTGTTCCCTCTGGTGTTAAAGGGATAGTGCACCCAAAAATGAAAATTCAGCCATTATCTACTCACCCATATGCCGACCGAGGCCCTGGTGGAGTTTTAGAGTCCTCACATCCCTTGCAGAGATCAGCAGGGGCAGCGGCTAGCACACCTAATGGCTGACGGCGCCCCAGACTAACGTCCAAGAAGACAAAATTGAATCCACAAAGTATCTCCAACATGCTCATCCATAGTGATCCAAGTGTCCTGAAGCCGCGACATAAAAAGTTGTTTGGAAAAACGTCATATGAACTCTGTTTTTAGCCTCACTGTAGCCTGTAGCTCTGACTGCTTCTCTGTGCTCCGCGCACATGTGTGCGCGCTCAGGGTGATCGGTGATGCACGGTCTCTGAAGAGCAGCAGTCTCGTCAGTACTGATGTCCAGATTCTCAAGTGCAGGCATTGCCAATTCCCACTCTGAGCAGCAAAGACTTTCCTCAGCCGTTGGCATTGCTTTGCATTTGAAACAACTACACCACCAGGTTTCCAGTGCTCGACTCCGGTATTCTGTGGCTGGCTGAGGGTTAGGCTCATGAGCTGTGGCAGCTGCTTCGTCCAGTAGCCTGAGTTCCGTGCGTATACTCGGGCTCAAACAAATACGGCTCAACAAAGAAATGCTGTTCCTCCTCAATTTCAAAGTTTTCAGACATGTTGGGCTGACCTTTGCTAAAAGACCATAGTGCAAATTATCTTTTAGCTACTGTGGTTTCTGCTGTCTCCCCCTGCGGTGCACGTGTCACGTGATGTAAACACGGGTGAGCAAAGCTCATGTTTTGGCTGCGCACACGTGAGCGCGGAGCACAGAGAAGCAGTCAGAGCTACAGGCTACAGTGAGGCTAAAAACAGAGTTCATATGACGTTTATCCAAACAACTTTTTATGTCGGGGCTTCAGGACACTTGGATCACTACGGATGGGCATGTTGGAGATACTTTGTGGATTCAATTTTGTGTTCTTGGACGTTAGTCTGGGGCGCCGTCAGCCATTAGGTGTGCTATCCGCTGCCCCCTGCCAATCTCCGCAAGGGATGTGAGGACTCTAAAACTTCACCAGGGCCTCCGTCAGCATATGGGTGAGTAGATAATGGCTGAATTTTCATTTTTGGGTGCACTATCCCTTTAATGCAAACAGAAAAAAAACCTTAAAGGCACCTAGTTTTTAGGGAGTCCCCAGAGCTGTACAGTCCTTAAACGCCTCATGTCTGTGGACTATCTTGACTAACGGGTCATGGTTTCTGTAAAGAGACATTGCTGTTGAGTTTTTCAAATGTATTTTTTGGCGCTTAGAGCACCACAAGCTGAGTGCCATCTACGGCTGATATCTCCAACACTCGGCAACTCACACCAAAACAATCTAACTGAGAACTAGCACTACAGGTAAGAGGAAAAATATGTGTTTTGATTTTGGGGTGAACTGTCCCTTAGAGCAAGCACCTCTAGTGCCAGTACTTATTTATTTTGTTTCATGATGAACATTTATTTTAAATCCTGAGTATTTCACCTAATTTGCACTTTTTAAAATACAGTGAATTCCACCTTTAATTTTGATGCAGTCGAACCGTTTGTTTCTTTATGAACAGTATTCTTTGCCAGTCAATGCCAGTGTCTTTCATCCACATTTTAATCTTCATTGCGACCTCAAATATCACATTTCAAACGATGAAATAAAGTTTCATTGAATCACGTCATGTGTGTTATTGACTGAAACCTTAAAAGGCTCAAACCTTGAAATGAATCGTGCTTCAGTTCTCCGCTGCCTGCTCCTTGACTGAATATTTCTCAGTTTGTGCTACAGGGTAAATATTTGGAGAAGCTGTTCTGTATTGTGGATGTGAGGCATTTCTAAAAGCAGGCAGAAGAGGTAAGTGACAGGTAGCAGCACTGAGGGACTTCTGCCCCTCCACCGCCCTCCTCCTACATGTAGCATCTGCTCTCTCCCTCCCTCACTGTTGGCTGCCGTCCTCGCTGCAGCCCCCTCTGTGGGCTCGTATCGAATTATGCTGTTCTTCTCTTTCGTCTCTCTCCCTGCTACATCTGCCACCTGTTCACCAGGACGCCCACGGCTGACTCTTTTATCATGCACCTCCTCTGGCCCCCAGAAGCCTGTTCCTCCTGAGACAACTGTTACCTGCTGTGTAGTTCACTCATACAGAGGTCCCTCCTGGTGGCTGGTGTGTTGCACTGCAGGGAGATCTGTGTTGGCCATCGCTGAAAGAGTCCCAGTTGAAAGCCGTATCAAGCGCAGGGAGCTGTTTGAAAACTGTGAGGTTAGATTTTCAATCATATCAAATTAAACGTAACAAAGAGACAGTGCTGTATATCGCTCCTGTGCACACTGTGTTTGGACAGATTAAATGGGAGTGTATCAGGAAAATATTTAGATAAAATCCAGAGAATTCAATCTGAGAAATTATGCAAAGTCCAACTTCATATACACTCACCAGCCACTTTATTAAGTACACCTTGCTAGTACCAGGTAGGACCCCTTTTTAATTCTTGGTGTCATAGACTCAACATGGTGCTGGAAACATTCCCCAGAGATTTTGCTCCATATTGACATGATGATATCACACAGTTGCTGCAGATCCATGATGAGAATCTCCCGTTCCACCACATCCCAAAGGTGCTCTATTGGAATGAGATCTGGTGACTGTGGAGGCCATTGGAGTACAGTGAACTCATTGTCATGTTCAAGAAACCAGTTTGAGATGATCTGAGCTTTGTTACATGGTGCGTTATCCTGCTGGAAGTAGCCATCAAAGGATGATAATAATAATCCTTTAACATGACTTTATTCTTTATAATTCTCTTTAGGTATACATCAAATAAAAATCAATGGTCAAGTCAATACCTTGTGTATACAAAAAGAATACAACAGTCTACAGTTACACAACACAACAGGGGGACTAATGTTTACAATAAAAAAAGATGAAAACATAAAAAGATAAATGATTTGTAAAGCTAACATCGATTTCATATTTTAACAGTATATTTTGGATTTGTAACCAAAATAAAATGTAACCCTCTTTTCTTGGTTGTTGGTGTTCCCCAGTTCTTCCAGGCTGTGAGGTAATGAGCTGGCTACATTTGTTTCTTCCTTTTTGTTTAATTTTTACCAACACAGCAAATCAGTATGAACACAATCCAACGTCTCTTTACTGTTAAGCACGAGGCACTTACTTTCCCGTGTATAACTCATATCTGTCCCCACAAAACAAGCTCATGACTCCACTGAAACACTGCACATGAAAATACAAATGAAACAATAAACAAAGTACTTTAATATATATAATATATAACACAGTAACATTGTTGTGT